CGTTAGTTTTTTCTAAAGGCCTTTGAGTCACGTGACATTTTCTAGCTAGAGAATTCGGACTCGCAAGGTCGCTAATAATTTGATGAGTAAATATTGGGCCTATGGGAGTCAAATGTGGCACCACTTGGTACTATGAAGCAATAAAGACTTATTATTTTCAATTATGAAGTGTTGACTCTTGACTCAGGTACTAGTAAGTTATCGATCATTAGGGAACAATACGAGCGATCGCCATGACGTCACCGTAGGCAAAAAGTGGGTGCCAGTTGGCTGATTTGCCTACCAAGAATTTGCATATGTCTTCAAATAATTTGCATGCGTATGATGTAAACAAAAACAGCGATCGCTCGTATACAAATGTAGAATAATATTGTATACAATATTTATAGTTAATAAGACATCTAATCAATGTCAATTAGTCAATCACTAATTTATAAACTGTCATCATGGAGGCAATACAGTGTGTTGTGTAAGTATAGTAAAGTTAGAACACAAAGAAGAACAGACAGAATTATAAATCATCAATTTATTCACAGCTTGATCAATTTCTTAAGATCCCATTCTGTTGATGTCTCACACTCAGTCACAGCACGACACTGTGACTCTCAGGCCGCCGCCATCTTTGTCACCTTTGACCTGACAGGGGGACCGTCCATTATAAAAGGGGAGGGGTGTAAGTTTTCCACACAGCAAAAGTTGCAGTGTAAAACACAGCAAAAGTTGCAGTGTAAAACACCAAAAGTTGCAGTGTAAAACACCAAAAGTTGCAGTGTAAAACACCAAAAGTTGCGGTGTAAAACACCAAAAGTTGCGGTGTAAAATTTTGTTCTTGTCGGCCACGGTACAAATCAGGTCAGTCGAATGTTGGAACGTTTCGTTCTACGTTCCATGATGCATGCCAAAGAACAACTTCGTTAGTTCCAAAAGAACGAAAAGAACAGCTTTATACTTTTTCTATTAGTATTGCTGTATTATCATGTCCTGTTGTAAAGTTAGACGCAGTGTTACGTAACTTAGAGTAGTCTCACTATTTATATGATGCGTCACTACAGATTGAGTACAAGCCCAACAACAAGCCATTTGAAGGGGTATCGATGATGAAAGCGGAGTTCCCGGTCCATTCCGCGGGCCCTCACCGGCCGCCCAGCTTCAAACCCCCGCAGGTGTACAAGTCTCCTCAGGCCAAGTTCCGTGACGGCACCACGCAGTCCACGGCATTCCAACCCTGGCCGCTGCCCAAGAAGGAGAAGTGGCCCTGGGCGTCCCGGGGCATGTACACCTCACCGGCAGACGTCTTCAGGTACTGGTATGCCCACTAACATTGCCCGTCTCTCTGGGTCTGAGCAGATACTAACAATGGATTTCAAGCAAGAAGTCGTGAGTTGTCACTTAGTTCAAGGAAAACCAGCGCCAGAGAAGCAATGTCACCTACGCTAAGCTATAATCATAGTCATGATAGCCATCCACTGGTCTTTCTCCCGGGAGAATATGCTTCAGTAATACGTATGTATCCCTGTCCCTGAAATGCTATCTCTGGTACTGAAATGCCATTTCTGTCCTTAAAATGCTATCCCTGTCCCTGGTGCTGAAATGCTATCCCTGTCCCTGAAATGCTACCTCTGTCCCTGAAATGCTATCCCTGCCCCTGGTACTGAAATGCTATCTCTGTCCCTGAAATGCTATCCCTGTCCCTGGTGCTGAAATGCTATCCCTGTCCCTGGTGCTGAAATGCTATCCCTGTCCCTGAAATGCTACCTCTGTCCCTGAAATGCTATCCCTGCCCCTGGTACTGAAATGCTATCCCTGTCCCTGAAATGCTATCCCTGTCCCTGGTACTGAAATGCTGTCCCTATGGGGACCTGTTGAGAGGGATAGGAGCTGTATCATGGAACAGTAGGGTTTTCCAAGTGCTAACTAATTTAACAGTACACAGCAGCACAGCACTCGCTACACTCGTTTATCATAGAAAATTGCAGTATCTAGGACCCACCATTGAAATATGAGCTTCATATGTGAGCTTGCCGTACTCAGGTGCACCACGTCTTACCGCGAGGACTTCGTGCAGCCCGCCAAGGTGGGAGACCGGCCCAAACCCTTCCGTCCCGTCAGCAAACGTGACGTCAAGTCCGACAAGAAAGTGCCCTTCCAGGTGGGTTATACATGTAGTAACGTTACTTCCCACGTACTCTTATTATGCCTTTTATCATCGATTGCGTAGCCCAGTCCAATGCCGTCAAAGCTTAGAAATGCGAAGTAAAAACCAAACAATGCGAATACCTGACGGACATGCAGCCACTCTCTCATTGGCCAAAACCGATAATTACAATGCTAAATGTATCATTGGTTAAACTGCTAATTGTTATTGAAGGTCAAGATTGGTCTATAACCGAAACAGCCGACGTTATGGTAGTCATTCACATTCAAGTGGACACCATTCCTTTGCGATCATACCCGTTCTGCAGGGCCAGAGCACCACCCGCAGTACGTACGTCCCCTGGAACAACACCCAGCCCGTCAAGTCGTACAAGAAGAGCGAGATCTACTCCCCGCCTTCCGAGAAGTTTGTAGCGCAGTCAACCTATCAGGTGAGGTAACAAACCTACGTACAGCGCGTGCTTTGTGGATATAATGGTCGTCCCTTGTGGGGAAATAATATAAGTGTGTAGGACTAGTCTCTTAGTAAAAGAAATAAAGCTTTTGCATCATTTACAGCCCTTAACGTAAGGTGTCAACATCTGTGTAAAGATGTGTGACACTGTTTTATCCACCTGGTTCAGACGAGGTTTACCGGAGAGATGGTATCGCCTGCCCGGTCCTGCCGCCCCGCCTACAAAGGGCCGTACGAGGAGGGCCGACCTGCTATGGAGGTGAGGACAACTAACAAAAACGTTCAACCAACACCTTCCATTTCTACGGCTATTTTTGGAATGGTCAATAGTAGTCCATGGCCGTAAACGTCGATGTCACTATATAGGTGTCACTAGATGTCACTATATAGGTGTTCCATATAAGTCGACTTGCTGTCCTGTCCTTGGTGCTGAAAAAACACCATGTGCGTTAGATTTAGCTAGTACGTGATGTAAGTGTCCATGCGTTGCGAATCGCGGGGCAACGTTCAACGACAACCTCCTTCACAAGAAACTTGTCGATGTTATCGTTACAGGCGTCCACAACTTACCGGGAGTGCTTTACTGTCCCTGCTCGGCCCCAGAGCTGCCCGGCCATGAAACTGTCCCTACGGACGGTGGCGAACGAAGCAGTGAGGCAGGGGTCAAAGTGTGCAGCCGTGGTCACAGCACCTGGTGAGTTGAGACTTTGTCGAAAAGAAAAAAAAAAGGAAATTATATTCAAGTCTAAAAGGAAATGGACCAACTGGCCTTCAGCAGTTTGACCATGCAACGATGACGATAGCTGCAAAGCTCTGCATTTTTAGGCTCTCATCTTGCATTTCTGAGACGTTTAGAGTTAGACGAGGTGGGCGGGCTTTTGGGATCGGTCAATTGGACAGATGTCAGAATGTTCCACAGTTCCACCATTGTCGGTTGTTGTGTGCTAATGGATTTGAGCACGTTTTCAATCGTAACTCCAGTCAGGCTTAGATTAGGAGGAAAATTACCACTCAGGAGCGCCACATGGCGACTGTTAACATAGTTTCACACCTCTCCTTCTCTCCTCAGAAAACGACCTTGAGTACAGCCACAAGTCGTCCGGACACACGTATTACCGGCTGTGCAAGCGGCCCAACACCGCCAGACAGCCTGTGGCCGGTGCCAAAGACTCAAACACCAAATAATGCACCCTAGTGGTGTTTAAAAGTACTGCAACTACTAAATACACGGAGCATTTTGTAATTTTCATAGGTCACCAACATGTTACCTGCTCAAGAAATCTCTGTTCATCTGGAACTATTTTACACGTGGTGTTTTGCAAATGACAATTCTTACAAGTTTCGGGTAAGAAGTACATAACAATTTCATTCTTCTATGACTGTTTCGATAACACCAGAATGTACATAGAACACATTGATACAATTTTGACATTTGGAGTCACAAGGCTGTTTGATATACCTAACAGCTCATCCTATAATGATCAATTTTAGTATGTAAATACAGAATTTTCTCCTGTTAAATAAAACAAGTAGTATGTGTATTATACAGTATTATATAAAACATGTAGATTGGAACTCAGGGAGCCTAAAATCTCTGTAGAGAACAGAAGCAAAGATGGTCAGTAAATATTCAAATAACTTTTCCTGGAGGAATACAGTAGTCAGTACATACCTCAGACTTGTTTAATATCTTTTTGACATGCGTTTGCATATTGGAAATAAGTTATGATGACTGGGAGGCATAAAACTGTGTGATATCACTTATTTATGAGTCTGACTTCCTCTGTTGAACTGATTTACCTTTTGTTATGTGTGATTTACCTTTTGTTATGTGTGGCATTCACCAGAGCTGATATCCACATCTTAAAAAAAAAGTCTATAAATAGAAAGTATTTGTGGGAGATCTTCAAAAGGCAGCTGTTTCTTTACTCACTTGGTGCAGGAGGTTGCTCCACTTATAACCTGGTCTGGTGGTGTAACACTCTTAGAATATGAAATTTTACAAGCAAACATGGGTGTCCTCTGATATTGCTTTATATTGTATGTCAATCTTCAGGGGCTGGATGCATGATAATGACAATTGTAGTATGTTCAAGAAGGAGCCAATCAAGACATGAGGTGTAAGAAAAGTAACCCCTTTATTGCTTCCAACATCTTACAGGTTATCTCCAGGAAACTTTTCTTTCCTACAACGTCTGGTATAAAATCACATTGTGAGAGGTCTTGCCTGTACAATATAGGACTGGTGTACAACTGTACTGTACAGAATTATACACAGGTGCAAGACTTCCCTGTTGTTTACATGAGTTGCTATAGCGATGGTCTACTCCCAGCACAGAGTCCTTGGTTCCAGAGATGGCTGTCTCAGAACTACATGACTATTCCTATCCTTACTTAACACCTACTGTTAAACACTACTGAAGAGACAAGTGTGATTGCATATACCATTTAGACAAGAAAGTGTTTATTACACCTGACATAAAAAGCAACAAACTGACCTGTGTTGACTTTCAGACCTTTTATTTATTTTACCATGTTCCTCTTAACGCACTGCTTCCAAACATCTGTGCATTTTATCTTACAATGTTTTAGTAAACTTAGCCAGAAGGTATCAACATGTGTGACATCTTGCCTTTAAAAAAAGTGAGACTTGGGCAAGCATAACAGAATGAAGAGGATAAAAAGGGGAAAGTGGCAACTATTGTTATACATTTGTACCGTCTCCGCACTGAATCCTGCAACATTGACTATGGCTGGACCAAGGCCCACCATTCCGCAGCTTATTTAAGGTACACAATCTTATATAACCATTTTACACTTTGCTATGGTAAAATGTAAGAAATTAATACACGTAATACCAGTAAGCACCTTACAAGAGGTTCACTGTTGCAACTCGGTTTGTTCGAATGACTACGGAATAGACGCATAAGAAGGTTGACCATTAACTACGCCTGTCTCTGTGGACGGAGAATTTGACTATTTGACCGTTCTTCTGGTGGGTTCTGACGCTGTGGGGGGCGGGGGAGGGCCTCTACGGTCCAGGTCCTCGATGTACGACATGAGGAGTTTCCTACGCTCGTCCGGAACACAGTCCAGCACCAGGTAACGTTTGTCTTTCTCCAGAAGTTTCTCCACATCCTTCAGATGATGACCATCGGTATCCTCTAACAATCTCTTAGACCTGCAAGTAGGGCAATTGGCAATGAATCAATAGGCATAGAATGCAATGGGTGGGATCATAGGATTGGGTATGTGATTTTCTTTGAATGAACACAAGTGCCCCCTAGCAATGCAGGGGTAAACTGCATCTCAGGTAAATCCCGGCTTGGAAGAATCACATGAAATTACTACAGCAGGTAATCCTGGATAGTAAGTTTCCAGGGATACTGAGTCATGCTAAAGCTTTGAGCAATCAACAAGGATCTTGACTAAATCTGAAAAATTTTAAGCAATCAACAAGGATTTTGAGTAAATCTGCCAGATTTCCAACATTGAGGTAGATGAGAAACAAGAAAACAAATTTTCTAAATTATCCATGGCCTGTAAGCTCCTCATGAAAGCCAGACATTTGGAGAGGCAGAGTAGATGTGCAAGCAGCCTGACATGATGATGATGAGTGTACTAGTGTCCTGCAACTGAACTCACTTGTACGTGATGAATTTGGTCTCTTTCAGAAGTGTCCTGAAGTCAGCCTTGGCAGCAACAAACTTGTCTCGGATGTAGTCGTTGAACTCTCTCTCACGTTTCTGAAACCACAACATGTAAGAATCATTAACTTTCTCCCTGCTGTGCCATCATTTATGTAAAACAAAAGCTGTGCCAAGTCGAGCAAAAGTCAGCAGGGAAATGGTAAGTGCAGGTATTTCTACTAGCAGCCTAGACTTGTAACGTCATGTAACAGGGTTTAATAAGATGGAAATAACTTCTGCATTTTAGGTTGTCAAGATTTATTGTTAGATTGTAACTGGTTTATCATCTATCCTAGGATTACCATTATGGCAATAAACTTAATTGGAAAGTGCCACTCAGAAAGAATCCTGTCTTAGCAGTGTCAGTACTAAAGCTATATAATACACGTAATAACATATTTCATTTTAAGAGCATATCATGAACACTGGTATTAAAAGTACAAGCACATTTCCAGACATACCCTATCACTGGAGGAGAACTTTGAAAACCTAGGGTCATCTTTGATGATTTTCCTAACTTCCTTCCATGAGGACATCAGTGTAATCTGGAAGAAAGAGTACAGAATACAACATGTCAAACTTTAATTTATACTAAGGCATAAAAAACTCTTCACTCATTCTGTCTGTGGAGTCCTCACTGGAAATGAAACTAATATAGGATGAATGACTGTTGAACTCCTCTGAATAAATAAATGAATAAATACTATGGTATCATGAAAATTCATCGGTGTTGGTAGTTACATGTTTAGAGTTAAAAACTTTTGGTCCAACACAATAAAGTTCTCTCACCTAGAACTTTTGACCAGTCACTCTGGTCTTCCACAGTAGACTGACCCAGTGAAGCTTGTCATGTGGTTTCTTTGAAGCGTGACGTCAACACTGGGTCTACTGAGGAAGACCAGCATTACTGGTCAAAAGCTCTTGGTGAGAGAACTTTTTTTTTTGCATTGGACCAAAAGTTTTAACTCTAAACAAATGAATAATAAATACCTCAGACGTCTCGTCCAGCAGCTGCTTGAACTGTTCTCTCTTCTTCTTGGTCAGCATGTCGATGTGCTCGTTGAACAGCTTCTCCTTCTCGTCCCTGTCCAGGAGGTTGGCCAGCTCCCAGCGGTGGTCCTTCCTCAGCTGACGCCGCGTCTCACGCCAATTGGCGTCGGCATTCCTCACCTGGAGGGACACGGGGAGGTGTTTTATCTGAAGAGCTTGTTTGTGAAAAAAGGTCTTATGAGAAGCAGATATTATCTTAATTTGAAGCTGTGTGTAAACATGATGATTTTCCACTGTTTAAAACGAAAATACGTTTTTTGTGCCTGCTGCGATGTCATGGATGGAATTTAACTTCACATATTTCCTATCGGCTGAATTAAGAGTTTGAAGTAAAATTTGTCAGGTTTGATGCTCATCAACATCAGAAGTATCTTATACAAATGGCTTTGTTCACTGAATGGTACTTATCATGGTTGAGTGTTATGAGGAACTGTTGTACGTCATTGGTGGCACAACCTCAATGTTAACAACCTGCTCTCTCTCTGAAAACCCAGCCTGCCCTGCTTGAGATTAGACCTGGTACATTTTTGTAAATGTAAAACACCTACCATATCTGCCAGCAGTGCCTTGAAGTGCTGGGTTGCCTCATCTCTCTTGTGCTGTTCTCTCTCTCTGTCCACTTCTCTGATGAGTTCTGATCTCTCCTTCTGCACTTCTCTTTGTCTCTCCTTCAGGCTTTCCTCTGCTCTCCTCTGACGCTCTTTTTCTCTCTCCTTCTCTGCATCTTCTTCCTGTCAGAGCAGAATAACAAGTGTACACTTAACGTGTGTAGCATCACTTTCTGTGAATAGTCTCAGAGATGTCACTCTTACAGTGTGGAGATACAATGTTCTGCTAAAATTTAATGACAAATTTTGTAAAGGTACATGTACTGTACATGATACATGAATGAAGTTCAAACATGACGTGTGTAGCTTTCAATTCTAAGATTGCGAAATTTAGACCTTATCACTACTGGTCATCAACAAGTCTGCAAAAATCTTGGTAAATATGTTGTATTGTCTGTGTAAGTCATGTCTAATGGCATATGTAACATCAGAATGCTGCTCTCCTTACCTTTGCCTTTGTCTCCACGTACATCTTGAACCACTCCTCGCGGAGGTGGCTACTCTCGACAGCCTTGTAGCGAGAGTCTGACTCCACCTTGTCCTTGACTTTGCTCCAGCGGGAGTACTTGTCCACGTTCTGCTCTTTGAGCAGGTCTGTGAAGTCCTGTTTCACCTGTTTTGTGTTTGACGAGAGGAGAAAAAAGATGCTACAGTGAGTCCAGGCAGGCTGTGCACGCTGTAGGTGGACAACTGTTTAAAAGAGAAGTAGCAGTTAGTATACTATGTTTGAACAGAAGGTATTCTTTTTTTTTTGCCAAACCACCAAATGAAACATTCCTCCAGCTGATTTAAGCCTCTAGCTGCAGCAGTATTTCAGTGGTTGTTGATGTGTTTCATATATCTACTTTTCACTTGCCCACATGTTGTGTTGTCTTGTCAAAGGTGTGAAAAATCTTGTTTCTATGAAACACTGAAGTGATTAGGTGCTCCTGGAACAGTAGTGGCCTAAATGCCAGAAATATATGTTTTTAGAAAGCAGGAAACGCAGACACAAAACGGAAACTGTGAAACAAAATCTAAAGTGGAGAGGGTATAAGATGATCAACAGTATGGCAAAAAAATTAGTTAGCTGTTGAAAGCATTTTTCTCAGTATGTATTACCTTACCAACGGCAACTGTCCCATAACCAAGTCTAACTATTGTGTCACATGCAACAATCAGTCTACACAAACCCATGCACTGTCCCCATACTTGTTTGCCATGTACAGTACAACTCACTGCGGTGCTTAAGGTGATAGCTCAGCTTTACCTACAGCAATATATGTACCACACAAAGACAGCAAAAAATGGAGCCTACAAAATGACCAACAGTCAGGTCTTATCAAGTAGCAAAACTATAAAAAAAATTAAATACAAGAAGAAGAAAGAATGAAAGAAAGAGAAAAAATACAAACAGAACAATCCTTGCTCCAATCATACAGTACTTTCTCTACATAGTCAGATCCACAGAGTTATAAAACGGAAAGGAATTGAAATTTAGTACCGGAAATGTGGGGAGGAATTTTCAGCCAGAATGCAATGCTTTCCTCACTAGTAGGGAATCCCACAAAACTTGGCTAGTGCCTGAATCACAGCTCTTTTGTCTGACTGGATGACCCAAAACTCTTTCGCTTTTCTTCACCGGCAGGTAGAAATACACATTTTAGTAAAAAGAAGGTTAAGCACGATCACAACGCAGGGCAGACTCTACTGGGGAGGAACTGCAGTGATGGTAGTGACTTGGGAAACTTCACAAAAATCTTCACAATGATACAAACATTGAATATTACTGACTTTGCAGTTTCATAATTTTTCTATTCTATTGCTGATCCAAGTTTCTAAAAATAGATAAAGAAGTAAAGATGAGAGTAATCAGCAAGATGTTTCAAAGTATATTAGAGTTTGTTTCTGTTGACCTTAATCATCACTGCAGTTCATCCCTCGAGTTGCCATCATCATGCAAGCATGCAAAATATCCCACAGAAATACTTTTAAATCAAACACACATTTAACATTCCATTACAAAATAATGGGTTGGCAAACTACAGACAAACCCACAAATTACCAGTGGGGGGGAAATAGACTCAAACGGATCACTGCAAGGCGGAATATTAACTCAAGGCTACTGATCTCCAAAATCCAATTCTTCAAAGTCTTCATGGATTTAAGCATTACAGCTAGAACGATTAAAATGATGTACAAGATTGTAGCATGTCCTAAGCAAACTTTACACAAAAAGCATCAGAGGAGGTTGTGGAGTATAAAGATATTTGTATATTTATACACAAACACACACTTGCTATATGCAGACAAATTATTCAAATCTGGTAGAAAATGTGTGATTTGTTGAGCTATCATGTCACAATGTTGCAGCCAGTACCTATCTTGCTTTGCACTTTCTGGAATAAATGCTAGAATGTATAAATGTAAATTTGCAAGGAAGAACTTTAATAAGTTACACTCAATTTCCCATTTAAGTTTTATTCAAAGTTGATTATTTAAATCCTGCAGCAAGACAGGTCCTGACTGAGAACATGTTCAATGCATCAACAATTCAAGTGACAACACACCCACATGTCATACAGGACCGAGGCGAGGTAAGAACAACATCACAAGGTACATGTCAATCATCGGCCTGCCCTGGCATCCTTATATGGATGTCTGCTGGGCGTGGCAGGCCAAGACCCCGCCTCTTTGGTGCCTTGTGCAGGGAGTCGTTCATAGACACAACTTTGTGTCGTGGGTTTCTTCTTAAAATCAATATATTTTGAGTACACAGCTAGAGTTTTGTGGGTTGATGCTGGTCTAACACCTCAATTCATTTGATGGCCATTTCTTAGCTGACAGAACAGATAACAGAGAGTTAATTCTTTTTGATCCAAATTGCAGGTGATTTTTAGTTAGAAATTCTACACATTTCAGATTCTGTTTGTAGATGGTTTAGAGCTGCATGATAACCAGAACAGAACCCAGGAAGAGGAAGATGGTTCACAAAACCTGAGCATGCTAGCCTGACTCCCCCCACAAGGCCCCTGATCCCCCAGTCGTTTCTCCCACCACGCACGCCCCTCCGGACGTGAACACCGACCTTCTCTGCACGGCTACGGCTCGTCTCCTTCTCCTTCTTGCGCAGGGTGGTCATGAACTCCGAGAACAGCGCCTCCCGGTCACGCATCTTCTCAATGGCCTTGAAGCGATGGTCCTTCCCATTCTTCATGGCAAACTCACTAAAACTGGTCCTGGAGAGGGAAGGAGTGGGGGTGTCACAGACATGTACCTTAAAATTGAGCCATTAAAATACAACATTCTGTCACTTTGAAACATACAGTCACATGGCAAAAGTATGAAAACAGTGACCAAAGTTGCCTTTTGGTTTATGGTGTAACTTTGTATGACAATGCAAGAAAATAAAAACAACAACAAACAAAAAATACAGAGCACATTTCATACAAAGCTCAACTTTCTACACTTTTCAGGTAAGGGGGTATGTAGTCAAACACAATCTGGACAATGTTTAAAAACATTTTTACACAAGGAAATATCCTACTTGGCAGATATCTTGGCCTCCTCCATGAGCTGTACAAACTCCTCCTTGGCCTCCTTTAGTTTGCTGCGCTTCTCCTTCCTCTCGTCCTCCGCACGCTGCTTCACGTACTGCTCAAACACCTGCTTCCTCTCCTTGTTGTTCAACAGTAGGTATCTGAGGAGGGGAGGGGGAGACTTGGTTAAACCTTTAGCAGGAAGCTATGACTGGTATTAACTGCTAATGTGAAAAGGTGAAACAATGGAATGAACTGGGAAGTCTGCATTGTGTATTTACAGTCTATCACTGACTGCTAAATTTAATGAAACAACAATTATTTTGGAAATACTCAAGTTACATTGTGGACCACATCTACTTTGACTAATTTGCTCCAAAGAACAGTTTTGGGTCTAACCTTGGATCAAAGACAATCTTGTGTAGTTCCTTGTCCCATGTGGAAAATGCTGAAACCTGGAAGAAAATTGACACTTGTTAAACGTACAATGTATATTCAGGAATGTAGATCAACCTTTGTTTCTAGTAATCAATACTTTTTGTTCACTTTGCTGCTTTCTATGAAATTGACTTCAGAACACGTTAGGTTTAGTGCTGACTTACTCCTCTCTCCAGCAGCATGTCTCTGAACTGTTTCATACGGATGTCCAGCGGCACGATGGCACGCTCCCGAGCTGCCTTGATCTCCGCCTCCATAGCTGCCTCCTTCTCTGGGTCCACGTCTGATGGCTTCTTCTCATCTTCAAGCCTGGAAAAACATCAGTCAGATGACAGATATGCCCCACATATTCTTTACCATTTAGTGAATCTTTATTCTCCAGTGATGTCTCTGTTACATAGCTAAGGGAATCACTTTTTCTTCAAAGACCTTTGACCAATTTTCTACCCAACCAAGGATGGACTCATGGACATGTACATTCAGGACTTTTAAGACTTACTTTTTCTTCTTCAACTTAGGCTCCTCTTCTGATGTCTCTTCGTTCTTGTTCTTGATGCCGGCTGGAGTGGTGAGAATGATAGGAACACTTCATACATCTTGTTACTTTATCACGGCTCTCATAAATACGTCAGTGAAACCTTGACAAATTTCTCATCTCCTCAAGCTTCTTCAACAGGCACTTTTGTAAAAGAGAAACCTTTCATAGGGAGGAAGATGACTGATACAGGGAATATCATTTGTCTGCAAAGTTTTACTGCAGAATGTATCAAGCACACAACCAACTTGGGAGAAGTTCTCCATAACTTTGTGGAATATTACATTCAAGGACATATTGATACACTTTTACCCATTTACGTGCATCATCAAATTCTATATTGCTCACAACTCAGCAAAGGTACATAGGCAGGGGGGCAGCACTGCATGCTTCTCCCTGAATGGAGTACAATTTTTTGTCACAATTTTCAAGACAATCATGTACAGAAACAATGTTGAAAACAAATTCTGTGTGTAGTTCACCACCCATAAGGTAAGTTGTTGTAAAGTCTAATGGTGCAATGCACAAAGGATTGCTTGAGTCTCTTGATTCTAGCATAGGGGCCAGTGATGCTGACTGTTCCTTAGTGTTCTGATCAGACAGTGAGTGTCTCCTAACCTTCCTCGTCCTTCTTGACGTGCGGAGGTTCCATGATGAGCCTGTCCACGTCCGTCCTTCCCAGCAGCTCCTCCGGCCGTTCCCATAGCGACAGGCGCGTGGTGGGGTTGTAGAAGAACACCCTCTGGTCCCCCGTCCACACGATGCACCTGGAACATAACCATTCATCACTGTATCGTGTGTCCCAACAATTACCCTGCTCGTAAAGACCCACACTTTATTGCTCCCCCAATAAGTTCTAGTTGACAGGATATGATGGGGGTGCAGAGTTCCCCCCACATTAAGAGATCCCCAGTGAAACAGGGATTTTCCATGGAGATCCTGCTCCCTTCTGCATGACAGCAGGTCCTGGCAGAGGGATGATACTACCTCACTGTGGTAAAGAAAATTGCTCCGATTATCTGTGGACTTGAAACATTGATAAGCTTGGGCACTGACATATATGGCCCCTTTCAAGCTTAAATGGATGCTCTTCTGACAGGATTATCATGACACTATAAGATGCACTTTTCATGTTTGGGAGCTGCTGCAGGGAGATGAGGCATTAAGAGGCAAACATGTTTGCTTATCAAATCTAATCTTCATTTCCCACCTGGAAGCAGCCTCAAAGTACATATCACATGCAAAGTAATGTCATTAAAACAACAATTTACCAAGGGAGTGCTGCTAAGGGAAAATGCTATACAATACTGTACATTCATTCTTTTGCAAATTTATCTCTGGAAGCCATTCACTAGGGGTAGTGTAACTGAGAGGTATATTTTCCAGTATAATGAATTGTCTCTGCTCCGTGCTGTTGTATTATTGCTCATACGCTGCAGGATACACCAAACAACTCATGCTACTGCCTGGGGTGTCGTTATGTCATTTCCTACAGTAAAGATGTATCACACCTGACAGAACTTCTCGTATCACTCTTCCTGTTCCTCTTCCTTAGACAGGTGGAAAATAAGATGTCTGTCACACCTTACATTAAGGGTGGACGTGCCATCAGTTATGCAGCTTTTTTTTCTTGCAGGTACATCTGTAGCGGCTACAATTTATGACTCGGCAGTGACTGCTTCTACACCTTAGAGGCTTTAAAACTAATGAGAGGAAGTACAAAAAATGATGCCAGCATAGTTTGTGACAGCAGCTATTATTTTCATACCTGTACATATGCTAGAAACAAAAGCCTTTGTGAGAGTTTTGATGGGCTCAGGAGGAGTGGCACTTCTCACATTTTTAATAAAAACTACTGCAGGTGAAGATTTGAGGATTACTACCAAGATTACACTTTAATTACAGACAGCCTTAAGGAGTATAAGTTTTATTTTTGTTTCATTTTAAGAAAACATGAGGGTCTTAAGAATACGTCAAGATGGTTTGAGCAGCTTCTATCCAACAGCTTCAAAATCCTTCAACAGCATGTTGTATGAGCCAGCCTGACAACAACAGATGGTTTGTACCACATCTTATGCATACCACAATATGCAGCTTTATGAATTATTGAGTAAAAGACTTTTCATATATCCACGTTCCTTTGTTGAGCTTTTGTGGGATACAGAAAACACATCAGAGCCACAATTCAATCTCCCAGGCCATTTCTGCAACACACAATATCTTCATTTTGCTCCAAATCCACAGAGAAAGTTATCTAAAGGTTCCAAAGCCTGCCTTTGGCCTTTCGGAAATCATAGCTATCTCTATTGTGAAACATCTGAGTGGAGATTACATTGCGAGATTTCTTTCGGAAAGGTCTTGGAAAGGTTCAGCCGTTTCCTTGTGGACTTGTCATGTGAGCTTTATGTAGAGAATGATGATGCGGGGAGTGAAACAGGACCCGATATCTCCCTCTCAAGAACACGGACACGGGCCATTTAAACGGTCCGCCAGGAGACGGGTAATGGACACGCTGGAAATCAAACCATGAATGCTTGATGTGGCATCACAGGATTCCATCTGTTTGGTGCAGGACCTCTAGCACTTTGTCTGACAATAACTCAAAACCTTGTGTCATCATTTATCAAGAGATCAAAGCACTGATTCGTCATATGACAGGTCTGCGGCTTTGCCAGCTAACACTCCAAGACGTCTGATATACTACTTGTAAAAGGCTGGCAGCTATAGAGGCAGCATGGGCATGCTAAGTGGGGTACCCAACTATTTCTCTCTTTCAGACCTTCTTCTCACCACGACACACACAGTTATCAGACCTGACTAGGCTGAAGAAGCTATGAAGGGTAGAGTACAAATGTCAACACATACACATACATGTACATGTACAGGAGTACAACTTCAGTGTTGTCATACCAAGCAGCTTGACATGATGACAACGCTTTTAATTACCTTCGGGTACGGAAGTACTGGGCTTGTTTTGGGTAGCTCAGTTTGTGTTTTTTGCTTGTCCTGAAACCTTTGGTTGCATGCTGGGTGGTAGGTGATTTTGACAATTATATGGGATAAGTGGGTGGCATGTGGAGGAATTAAGGACAGTGTAATACTGTCTTGATTAAATTACGTGATACAATCCCCTCCACAGTTTCAATACATTCAAACAATGATTCCTGGAGGTCTAAAGATCACGAAATCCCAAAATACATCCCAGAAGTCTGAAATCTTTAATTTCTTCAGTCGTTTCAGAAAAGAACTACCATTTATCAGAGATGGTCCAGTCTGCTTCAGAAGCATACAGTTAAAATCTGTTTTGTCCAATGTTACTTTGTTGCCACGAGGGTACAGTTAGCAGTTCCCATCCAATCAGAGTCATTAGAATGCGAGTGCTTTAGCTTCCTGCCATCGTTCAGACAATGATAGGCTCCCACATCCACCATCTCCGTCTCAGCCTTCCTCGGCAATCCAGCGGGTAACACGACACTAGAGATGGGCCATTAAGTTGTCCATTACGTTTATGACTGGAGGATGTGTTCGGGAGATGTCAGAGAGGGTCGTTTCAGCAGGATTCAGCAATTCTTTGAGTTGAAGGCTGGCGCCAGGATCACTTACAACGTCTGCTTCCTCCACAGACTGTTCCAGGGAAGACTCCAGTTACGACAGATGGGATTAAAACCCACACAGGAGGATTGTTACATTTCATAGCCCTTCCCCTCACAAACTCAAGCACTAATGAAAAGGGCCGTTGGTACGGAGCCTAATGCATGATGTCATCGGTAAGGATCCTCCTTGCACGCACCGTTCTCCTACATTAGGTAGTTATGCCGTCTAATGCACACATCAAAGACGGTGCCGCTCCAAAATGAAAAGGCTGTCTTTACATCCCTTCATATAAGATTAGGGCTTGTCAGAACTGATTCCCACTGTCATGTAGTAGAATTTCATAGCCACACAAGGACCCCTTTGCTGACACCTCTATTCCACTTCATGTGTGCAAACTAATGTACCATTCAACATCATCATTAAAAAACATGTACATGTATGAGGGTGACAGCAGACCTTTGAAATCAGTATTGTTTACTTTCCTACAACAGTAAACCTTGCAAGGGAGGTGATTTGCATACAGAATATTTAACAATAGACATTGCTAAGCCATCCTCTTCAACAGTCAATTTTGTCACCAACTCAAGTGTCTAAATAAAAAAAATCTTTGCCGTCCTGTGGCAAGTTCTGCAGTCTTTTGGGAATAAGAGAATAGTGTTGATCACAATTATATTCAAAATCAAGTCACATTCCAAATTTTTCTGCCATTTTCTATAGATGATTAAGCATGTCTGTGCATGTAGCTAGCATAATTGTCAGTTTATTATATCAGATGCATCATTAAATTGTGATGTCTTTATGGTTGGTAATAGTTGTCACAAGGGTTAATTAAAAGTACTACATTTTCTTTGTTGGTGATGTTATGCTGTATATTTCACAATTTACACATGTCTTCTCCACTAGTTTTCTACAAGCAAAGTTTTATGATGCAGTCACATTTGCTGTACGATTTGATGTCAGAGAATTTTCAAGCAGGCTGTTACAGAACTAACTGCCGACAATGGTCTAAGACAGCCTTTGCTGTCATAAGACAACTGTAATTTGTACAACTCATGAAAGACTGTCCAAATAATGCCCTTAGCTATAGTTTACGATCATACAACAAAATTGACCAGAACCAGCTACTACAGACAGTTATTCAGATCACAGATGAACAGAGAAGTCTCCCGTACAGTAGCCACTCTCCACATGCAGCCATGACTTCCCCACAGCCTCCTGCACTGTAACCTTGGGGAAGCAAATGTTCTCTAACCAGATTTCCCATCTTGTTTTGCAAGTAGACCCATCATGACCTTCCAATAAAATACCAGGGAAGTACACCTGCCATTTGCCAAACATGAAGGACCGCCGATTGTTCTCACGGCGCCGTGTAATGGCCCGCCTTTTGAGACCCCTGACGTTGTTAAATCAAAGTTTGACACACAGGCCATTTCCATATTGATAACTCCTGTGCAGAAAACCCCCCTGTGGACTGTGTATGCCCTCCTGCCGTCACTTTCCTGTACGCGAGGTTGATTGGTGACATTTGTGTCTAGTTTCAGTGAAAGGTTGGCCACCGGCACATCTTCCCAACACCCCTTTGTCTTAAGATAATGGGCAAGACATTTAAGGCGTCACATCTACGGGGATTGCACCGCCGCTAATGGAACAGTTACG